ACTCTGGTCCACTCCTGTAGGGCACTTTTGTCTGACACACTTCTATGGCACTCTTGTGGAGAGCTTCCGTCCACTCCTGTAGGAGACTCTTGCCGGACCCCCTTCTATGACACTGTTGTGTGAAACTGTGGTCTACTCTTGTAGGACACCCTTTTATCGATCTCTAGGTGGAAAACTCTGGTCCACTCCTGTAGGACACTCTTGTTGGACACACTTTGTGGAAAACTCTGGTCCACTCTTGTAGGACACTCTTGTCACACACCCTTGACATTCTTGTGGAAACAGAGGTGGCTGGCTGACTGTTTGACGTGGTGTTTGCACTTGCATGCCTGCCTTTGCGTGTCCACACATTGTAGGCTCAGGCCAGCAGTTGGATTTGTGTCTCTTCGCAGTTGGATGAGAGTTGCACCATGCACCATGCACTGCGTGAACCTTGGGCTTAGTGTCTCTTGTTGTTTGCAAGCTGCCTACGCTTGAGATGCCGAACGCTTCTCTTTAAAGGCATTCACTTGCTTGGACGTCATGATCGATAAATGCTTCCATGTTGGCGCAGGTCCTGACTCCAAGCAAGGATTTGAATCTTGCTCACTGGGCCAGCTGACCCAGGGCTCTGAGAGGATGTGCTGTAAGGCTTCTAGATGCCTGCCTGCTACCTGTTCTCCGATTGGTGCAGTATCTTGTAGCACCGGAGATCATAGACCTTCGATCAAGCCACGCACTGTGTTAGACAGTGTGATGTGAGACTTCTTCACTTGGGTCTCATGCTGTAGTATATCCTCCGCGAGTTTGAGAACCCTGCATCCGTGAGGATTCATAGCTGCTTCTGCGATTGTTTTTGGCGATGGGAGATGCCGGATCCATGGATTTGATCTCCTGGCTTTGGCTGTCCCGCAATGGACCCTGTTGCTAGCCACAGCTAGCATAGCCGCCGTAGGGCTTGGATGTCAGTACTGGGATCGGCGCATCGTAGATTTTCCCACTGTACTTGTCCTTCTGTATGCCACCTCTTTTGTCCGAGTGCGGCAGGACAACCAGCTGCAAGTAGTACACCAGCCTTGAGCTGCAAGGTGACTTGTGTTCCATCACTCAAGGACCTCGTCGCCGAAACAAAAAGTGTCCGGCTTCTGCTCGCCTTGCTCACCTTGCTCACCTTGTCTTCGCACAAGAACTCGGACTCGGTGTTGCTGTCCTTGCTGACAGTTCGTCGCACAGTGATGAGCAGGCTTCGTCCATCTGAAGGTCCTGCTCCAGTTTCCGACAGGGACACATGTCCGACAGAGTGCCGTATATTAATTAAAATTAATCGCTTATACGCAGTTAGTGCATCAAAAATACCTTCCACGAAGTTCTGCGAAGGTTTCTGGGATTTCGTTGCAGTCAGTTCTCCTACTGGCCCACCATTCCACGAACTGTCCACGAACAGCCTTGGGTTCTACGAAGGTCACGCGCCTTCCACGACGTTAGTAGAATATAGGTTTTTGCAAAACCCTTTCTGTGCACTACCCTTCCGTTTGCCTTTGAAGAATATAGATGGGTCAGTTTGGTGCCATTGACCTATTAAACACCAACTAGGCCTCCTCTCAGGCTATGGGTTATACCGTTCTGATATCTGGCATAAGACCAGGTTGAGATATCCCAGAGACCAACGTATCGACCGATCTCCTGCCACATCCCACAGCTGTCTCCTATCCTGCCTCTCACTTTCGCTCGCGGCCTTT